GCCCCATGCCCACCGCCCCTTGCCCACCACCCCATTGCCCACCTCCCCACCGCCCCATTGCCCACCGCCCCACTCACCCAGCACCTTGAGGGTGAGGTGCCCCTCGAAGCTGCCCAGGGGGAAGGTGATGAGGTGACACTCGTAGTCGCCCTCGTCCCCCTGCACGGCGTTCCTCAGGACGATGGCCCCGTCCTCCAGCCCCCCGCCGGCCGGCCGCACCACCCGCCCGGCGTAGGGCTCCTGCACGTGCTCCCCGTGCTGCCGGTTGAGCACGGCCACCTCGGCGCTCTGCCCGGCCGGGCCCCGCTTCAGCCAGGTCACCTGCACCACCTGCTCCTGCTCCTGTGTCCGGTACCGGCACGGCAGCACCACGTCCTGGCCCAGCACCACCGTCACGCTGCGCTCCACCTCCACCACCCCCGAGCGGCAGCCTGTGGGCACCCAGGCTGGCACCAGTGCGCTCGCTCGGCGCGCTTGTGCTGCCGCGTGCTCACACGGTCCTTCCGGCACACTTAGGCACACTTGGGCTTGCACACGCTCGCGCCGGCACTCACGTACAGGCAAGAACACTTGGGCACGCTTGTGCATGCTCCGGCACACTTGGGCACGTTTGTGCTTGCACACGTCCACACGCTTCTTCGGGCACGCTCACATACGCTTGGGCACGCTTGTGCTTGCACACACCCATGCATGCTTGGGTACACTCACATACATGCGGGCACGCTTGTGCACAACACTCCGGCACGCTTGTGCTTGCACACGCACGTGTACGCTTGGGTGCACTCATATATATGCAGGCATGTTTGGGGATGCTTGCGTACACTCTGGCACACTTGGGAACGCTTGTGCTTGCACACATCCATGCATTTCTTCAGGCACACTCACATACACTTGGGCGCATTTGGGCACGCTTGCGCACACTTTTGCACGCTTGGGTGTACTCACAATACATGCAGGCACGCTTGGGCATGCTTGTGCACGCTGGTGCTTGCACATGCCCATGCATTCTTGGGTGCGCTCACGTACATGCAGGCATGCCTGGGCACACTTGTGCTTGCACAAGTGTGTGCTTGCACACTCTCATGCGTGCTTAGGTGCACTCACATACGTGCAGGAACACTTGGGCACGCTTGCACACACTCAGGTATGCTTGTGCACGCTCATACGCTCACGTGTCCTTGGGTGCACCCACAATCACTTGAGTGCATTTGCGCACACTCAGGCACGCTTGTGCAGGCTCAGGCATGGTTGGACACGCTCGTGCATTCCTTGGTGCACTCACGCATGTTCAGGCACACTTGGGCACGCTTGGGCACAGCTGCACACTCAGGCATGCTTGAACGCACTCGTATGTGCTCAGGCACACTTGTGCACACTCAGACGGGCTTGGGCACACTTGCACACTCATGCACACTTGGGTGTGCTTGGACACGCTCATGGGCGCGCTCTCATGCTCATGCATACCTGGGTGCGCTCACACGCACTTGGGCACGCTCGCACATGCTCATGAACACTCAGGCAAGCTTCCGCACGCTCACACATGCTTGGATGTGCTCACACACGTGTGCACACACACTTCAGCACGTTCGTGCGTGCTCGTGCACGTTTGGATGTGCTTAGGCATGGTTGGACACACTTGTGCACACTTGGATGTGCTCATGCTTGCACACACTCAGGCATGCTTGGGCACACTCACACACGCTCATGCGTGTTCAGGCACGCTTGCACATGCAAAGGCATGCTCATGCACACTTGGGCACACTCCAGCATGCTCAAGCACGCTTGTAGATGCTTATGCATGCTTGTGCACCCCTGGATGCACTCATGCGTACTTGGACATGCTCACACACGCTCATGCACACTCACGCATGCTTGGAGGTGCTCGTGCATGCTTGGGTGTGCTTACACACGCTCATCATGCTTGGGCACGCTTGCACATCCTTGGACACAGTCGTGCACACTCCTGCATGCTTAGGCATGCTTCTGCACGCTTGTACATGCTCATGTACGTTTGGGCATCCTTATGCCAGCATAGACGCACTCATGCACACTTGGGCACACTCACACATGTGCAGGCACACTCAGACACGCTCGGGCGTGCTTGCAGATATTTGCACACACCTGTGCATGCTCATGCATGCTTACGCACACTTGGGCACCCTCACACATATGCAGGCACGTCCACCCATGCTCACATGTGCTTGGGCATGCTCACGCACGCTTGGGCACGCTCAGGCACACCTGCACGCACACAGGCCTGCTTGCACGCTTGTGCTCGTTCCTATATGCTCCTATATTCCCCCCGCACGCGCGCTCCCATATCCCCGGCTGCCTGGCAGCCGCACGCACGCGTGTGAGGCTGGCGGGTGTCGGGGCGGGGCGCGGGGCCCGCCCAGCCG